TAATGAATCTTTTTCTTAATCTATTTCTTATTAAACATATCAATATTCTAAAGTGTTCTAATAATTCGACAATACATGGTTTAATTCTATTAAACTAAACTCATTCCCTTATCAACACCTCGTACATATCAATGATTGAAATGTCTTTCAACCATCAGTTTATTTGTGAGTGTTTTTTCTTATTGATGAAAATAAACAAAAACCATATTAAATTTATGTTTTATATATCGAATTTATTATCAGAACACTCAATTATCATTTGAGTGATATTTGTTGATGCCACCACGACCAATAAAAAATCGATTTGAAATTCATCGACCTTATATAACTCAAGAAGAAGATGAAATCATTAAACTGACAGCCCAATACACAGCAAGAAATGGAAGTAATTTTGTAAAAACTCTTGCTGAACGAGAACAGAAGAATCCTACTTTTGCATTTCTTCACAAAAATCATCCAAATTATCCTTATTTTGCTCAATTATGTGAATCATACAATCAATGTCTTCATCCAAAACAACAATACATTCAATTTCTCAACAAAACAATGGGAAATACACAAATCCTCATTAAATACTCTAAGATGAGAGCAGACTATGAAAAGGAGATTGAAGAAATGAAAAAGAAAACTGAAGAAGATAAAAAACGAGAAGAAGAATTAAATCTTTCTATCAATTGGAATGATTTTGTAGTTGTTGAAACAATTGACTTCGATGAGTTTATTGAGGCAGAACATCAAAACATATTCTTAGATAAAATGGAACAAAGTAATGAAGAAGAAATAAGTCAAGAAACCAAAGAAGAAGAAAGCCAAAGTGATAAAGATGAGGTATCTAAAATAAAGAAAGGAAATCAGTATGGAGAAATGAAACAAGAGTGTCCTCTTTGTCATCGTTTAATTCCATTAAGTGAAATGGATAAACATATGAAAATCGAATTATCGTCTAAAACACTGAAATCTCAACAAAAATAAATACTCTATTTTATTAAAAAAGAAAATATAATTACTTATTCTTTTTAAATAAATAAAAGTGCTACTATCATCAAGCTAATAGAAACAATTGATTCTTTTGAACTATTAAGCCACCTTTGTATAACTTTCTAATTTTTTCTTTTTTTTCATAAGAAGTTTTATTTGAACCATTTCCTTTCAATAAGTCAACCATTTAATTAGACAAATCAAAGGTCTTGAATATAAAAAGAAAGACCAATATAAAGGAACACATTAATTAACTAATATTAGTGGATTACTTAATTTAAAGAAATTGATATTTTTTTATTATTGTGTATTATTTATTGTTTTCATATTTTCTTTATAATAAAACTCCCAAATATTAATATCAAATGAGTTCTTTGAGACGTAACACCTCTTATCTTGGACTCTCCCCAAGAATTTCCAGATTATCAAGGTCTAATTCCTGTTCATCAAAACTTACACCAAGAACTAGGATTATTAGTGACAGCAATGCATGGACTGCCGTTTGTTTTTTTAGTTGGTGATTATCATGTGTACAAATGTTAATTATAAAAAGTATGGATAAATTGACATGTAGTTACTTGTTCCTTTAATGAATGACATACCAGAGGCAACGTTCAAAACAATGATACATATTTCAATGGGAGTAGAAACTAATATGTCTAATTCCCAATTAATATTTTCATATTTTGTAGAGAATGAAAGACTAGCTGAATTGATTGAGTACATTGTCAAAAGAGAAGTTATTTCTAACATTGAAGAGATTTTGCTAATATTCGATTCTAATTCTTGTTTTGATGTTATGATGCAAATGTTTGCAATGAAAGAAATGGATACATTTTTTGAAAATGTTGTACTTTCTATTACACAAAAAGTACATAAATCGAAGTACAAGTTTAGTGTTTGTTATTATTAATAATATTAACTAACAATAAGTTTGACTAATATGTTTAGAATGATGACAAATCCATCACAAAGAATATAAAGAAATTAATTAAACTTCTTCGTATTATTATCAAAGAGATTACTGATTTATCAAAATACACACCGTTTGTTCTTTGTTTTGTTTGTATTGTAAATTCAAATTATTAATAAAAAAATACTATTAATACTTATCAAAACAGAGCATTCAAATATTTTATTCATGAATTAGTCAAAATTACATTTTATGATTATCCATTACAACACTGTCGAGCATTTGAAGTGTTTATGGGTGGGATTTATCTAGAAAAGATTCGATTAGTTCCAAGTAAATCAACAACAGAAAAACAAACAATAGAAGTCATTAGTCTATTTATTGATAATTATATTCATCCAAAACAAACTGAATGGAGTCAATTAATAGAAAAAGAGTTTAAAGATATTAACCAAGAAATGGACTATTTAAAACAAAGAATATTAGTTTGTTAAGTTTTAATAGAAATAAGCCATTAACTTTAATTTACATATGTAGAATCTTCAAACAGAAAAAGAAGATTGTGTCATTCAATGGAAAATACCAACTGCTGGATTTACTGAAAAATTATCTAAGTCTATTGATGAAATCAGAAATTATATTTCACCAGAAAGTCAACAACTAATTGATATATATTTTAATACAAGTCAACCAATGACCAAGAGATTTAAACAAATTGTAAATGAAATTAATCAGTTAAGTATTAATAACTTTAATGAAAAATCAGGAGTGTTGTATAAAATGTCAGTCATCAAACAACGAATTAAAGGTTTGTTCTTCTTATTTGTTTTAATTGAGTAAATAACATTATTTAATTAGTAGATGTTAATGAAGAGATTAGATACCTCAATGAATGTTTAAATACATTAGATGAAAAAGAACAATTAATAAATGAATCAAGTGAAACTGAAGAAGTGTTTTCTGGAACTGATGGAAGTAACTCTGTGATGAGCAATTTGACAAATGGAATTGACAGTCAAAGTATTAGTCAATCATCATCATTTATTCTTAATTGAAAGTATATATTGTCATTTTTGTTTTTAAAATCATTTTTATATTCTTATGACAAAAATAAAAAGAGAAAAAGAAAAACAATAATTCTTTTTGTTTTTAAAATTCAATAACAATAAATTTATTAAGTTTTAATGAGAGGAAATTAAATTCACCATTTTAAAAGATTAATCAATTTTGTTTTTCTTTCTTATATTAAACCTTATTTTTAGTACACCTTTTCTTAGTCCATTCAATTATGTACACACTTCTGAAATTTTGAAAATGGACTAGATGTTCGTTCTTTCTTAGACTGTGTTAACATAACAATATCATATGGTTGAAGTGATTCAACTGGAAGTTCTTCTTTGTTAGTAGATTTAGTTTCAGGAGATAAACTGTTTCTAATACTCCATTCAGCTGAGTCAAGTAATGACGTTGTCTATTAAGAGATTTTCTCATCATCCCATATTTATTAGTATTAGTAGGTTGTGTGGTTTGCATGAATACAATTCTTGTAATAAATGTGTATTTTTTTGATAAAGAAATAATAAATAGTTAATGTTAAGTATTGTATTTTTAGGAATTTGCTTTAAGTCTTTCAACCCCCTTGTAAATTTCATTTGACATGTTCTTTCAGTTTATTTCTCTATTTTTCTTTATCTTATTGAAAAATCACAGAAAATATTGTTGGTGTTGAGTCCACTCTTATTTATAACAAACTCTTTTTACTTGAACTTTCCTTTCTTTGTTTGAAATACTAAAATTAATTTATTCTTTGGGCTTAAATTGTTTGTGAAGAACTTTGGAAAACAAGTTCATAAATAAGTGATAGAACATACAATGGGATTGAAGATGGTAACGAGTTATTGGTTGTATTAAGAAATTTGAATTGTTGTTTATTCCTTTGAAAATACGGATTGTAGTTATAATTGACTCATGGATGTTATTGGAATAAAAATTTACTTCATTCTGAATAACAAAAATAATTGATTTATAAATAACACTTTTGTTAAAAATAATGGTTTTATATTCTAATGTATTACTCAATACAATTTTGTTCGTTAACAATCAAATGATGAATTGAAAAAGATTCGTTTCTTATCGTTTGGTGATAAGTAGAATTATCTTTGAAATAATAGTATCGGTCTTTATTCTAATGGTTTAGAATAAAATACAGTTTGTTGGATATTTAGTATATTGTCAGAATGTTATTCGTTATTATCAATTCCTCATTGAACATTTAATAAATAACTCGACTTCTTATGGATGATCCAATCCAAAGAATGTCAACAATACGAGAAGTGGCATAGTGAGTAGAGAAAATGGAGTTGTGAAGTATTGGAATAAGGTTTTTTAAATAATTCAAGTATAAATACCCCTAAAAATGAATTTTAAAGAAAAGGAATAAAAGAATCACAAATCGACTTGTGTTTATTCGGAAAGTTCTTTAGAATTAAAAGGATGACCACTTCAATGATTACATTGTTTGGTCTTAATAGAGTTCACAACGTCATTGTTTTTTTTTTTGATTCACTTGTTTTGTTAGTGTGGTTATTCGTGTAAAACATTATTGTGGTTGATGAGATAGTATTAGAACTAAATCCAATTTTAAAAAGTGAGCACAACAAAAAAGTGAAACCAAAATACTCAATAAGTATCATTTACAATAAAAAGAATATGAGAGTAGAAATTCAACATTAAAAACAATAACTAAAACAAATATTTTTTAAGAATAAAAAGAGATGAAATAATGGGTTAAATAACTTATTGATAATTTTCAATGACTCATTTTTATGATTAGTCAATTTTAATTATATTCAAAGAAACTCAAAACGTTATCAGATGAATTCTCAAGTGTTTAGTTTGAAAATTATTATTATGGGATTTAGTGGTGTTGGTAAATCGTCAGTGGCTCTAAATTACACGCATAATATCATTCTAACAGAGTTTAATCAAGCACATGGTGATGAATTTAAAAAGACCATTCAGATCAATGACCACACTATCTTATTAGAAATATATGATACGAGCGAAGATGAGTTCGTCGCATTGAGAAATCAATACATAAAACAGGGAGATGGATTTGTATTGATATATTCTATTACATCAAAAGAATCATTTGAAGAAATAAAAGGAATTTATGAAGAAATTTATCGAGTTAAACACAAAGATAAGAATGAACCAATTCCAATTATTATAGTTGGAAATAAATGTGACTTAGAAAATGAAAGAGAAGTAACAAAAGAAGAAGGTATGAATTATGCAGACAGTATTAACTGTCCATTTATTGAATGTAGTGCTAAAACAAAAGAAAACATCAATCAAATCTTTGAAATAATCACAAGAAATATTCTTGAACAAAAATATCAAAGAGAAGAAGAAGAAATATGGACAATAAAAAAACCTAAAAGAGAGAAAGGATGTTGTGTTGTATAAAAGTCAGAGTTATCAATTAATACAATATTACCACTATTTGCTATAAATGAAATGATGTTTTGTTTTAATTAATAATAGTAAAGAAAAACAAATGAGAGAATTATTAATTTAGTTTTAATAAAATTCAATTAAAAGTTAATAATAGATATTTACTTATTATATTATTTGATAAAACATATGTATTGTTTATATAATTTTATCATAACTATAATACCTTTAATATTTTGGTACTAATAATTTTATGTTCATCAAATTATTAATAGACAGCTACTTTCGATTCGATTATTTTAGTAATTTCATTAAGAAATTTTAGTTGATTTTATCTTTCAGTGTCATTGAACAAATAAGGACACATCTCATTGAGTAATATTAGTACTCTCTAATACTTCCAAAGTGTGTTTTTTCAATAACTTGAATGAGCGTGTAAGTGGTTTGTTTTAATAAGTGTGTTTTAAGCCTATTGGTCTGACTAGGTCAATAGCAATTTTGTTTTAGTGCACAAAGATAGAAT